AATGTATATATACTTTTATATTTTTATTTATTTATATCTATATTCATACAATTTACTATGGAAACAGTAATGAAATTATTGGGCTTTTTTAATGATGCACTTAAAAATATAGGTTCGATGAGGCAGGTGTCGAGATTGGCAGCTTAATGCGCTTTGCTAATCTGCCTAACAATGTTCCAATAGTGTTGTTGGCCAATAAACAGGATCTTCCGGAAGCTAAATGTTGCGATTTGGTGCGTGATACTGTTGCCTGTAACGTCGGTAAGCATTTGCTTCGAGTTCAGCCATGTTGTGCAATCACCGGCGAAGGCCTTGATGACTTTTTTGGCGAACTCTATCAGCTGATCGTTGAAGCTAAGTAAGTACCTTTGATCACTTTTGATTTTTTACTCCTCTCGTTTCTACTTTTCTTTACCGCCACTCTTAATCTCGAAACCGCCGTATCCCTCTCTCTCCCCCCCTCCCCCACTTCGCTTGACTCCCGTTCCTCCTCCACTGCTTCTCCTCTGCTGTCTTTATTAGACCACTCTACTGTTTTTTTCTCTTCCCCTTTCTTTCCACTTCTGTCTGTTTCATATAAATAGTTTTTTCTTTTTTGTGTACTGAGTTCAACTTACAGCTTTTGGATTATTTGAGCACAAATAACAGTATATCAATAAACTGAAAATAAATACCTTTTGATAGCACAAATTGTACATTTTAGTCATTGGCAGGAAAAAAATTAGGGAGTGGAAAAGGAGAAAAAGGACGCTTTGTTTTAATGTAATTATTTGGTCCTCTCAGAAATTAATTTTCCTCTAAAAATCAGCTTATTTATAACATATTCTGATTTTTATGGCTGTTTTATGAAAAAAATTTTTTTTTCTTTCGCAGATTCTTTCCCTTTTTCATCTCTCTCTCTCTCTTTTCTTTTAAATGTTACTGTAACAATTGAGCAGTTAAGTTGTAGCGGTTTTTTGTTTTTGTTTTTGTTTTTGTTTTGTTTCTTTTTTTTTTTCCATTAACGTTGTTGAGACCCTAGACAACAGACATTTAGAAAATAATTTATAAATCTTATAAGCATTTGAAATTGCTATTGCCTATTTTCTTTTCAGACGATCAACAAAAAAAAGATGATCAACTGAAAACAGTTGAGGAATAATAACGCGAACCATGGTGGAATGAAAAGTGACATGTCTTATTTGGACAGTGGTGCTAGAAAGAACTGTCGAAAATTACCACCACTAAATCAGTGGAAAGGCTTTCTCTCCCACTCTGTTAAACGATCACCGACCTCCACTACATCCGACAAAGGCAGATGCTCTGTCGATGGTCTCAGGTGGTTTCAGTGACGGAAGAAGACAAAAAAAACTATTGTTTTGTGCTTTATTTGGGGAGGGAAGTGGAGTACTTCATGAAAAAAAAAAAAGAGAGAGAAACGAAGAGAAGACATTGACACTAAAAATAGTCGGCATTTTTTTTTCTTTTTTGTTTGAATTCAACGGACACTATCGATACCATTCGTATAACAAAAAATAACAGTTGTATACAACGATGTCGATTTGTAATAATTCGCCCAGCTGCCATATATCAATTTGCAAATATGTGATTGAATAGGACGGATGGAAGAAGTAAGGAAATGGAGAAAATAATGAGGAAGAAGAAGGCGAAAGGAACGGAGACGAAGATAAAAACTTTGATGAATATTGGATCTTTCTGTATTAGTACGATTTGGCAATGATGATTGCTGGTTGTGTGTTTATTTTTTTGAGGAATGGAAGATGACTGATGATGGTTTTGTCGGCGACAATTATACTCACTTTTGCGAAGCAGAAGCAGAAGCAACAACGTATCAGGTGTAGGATCTGGGAAACAACAGCAACAAACGAAATGGATTATATGATGTTGATAAAGTAAAAAAAGAATACTTAAATATCAGGGGGAAAAAAAAGATTCAAACCTGAAAGAAAGCGCGAAAAAAAAGAGGAAACTGAATTGAAAAAAAAGCCACTACGATAGTTTGATAAAAGTAAATAAATGGAGAAACGCGTACATAAAGTTATCAATAGATGAGCAGATACTTATTCATTTCATTCAAATCTTTTTGATAATGTACTTTTTTGAAGTTGAATCTATATATTTATGTCTAGGTAAGCAGATAGGAAGCTATGGCATAAATTGCATGATTACTGGCGATATAATTTTGTGGTTGCATGCAAATTTCATGCATTTTTGTTACATTCTTTGTTGTCGTTATTGGTGCATATCATTGTTTATTAAAAGTTTCAATAATCGTTTTTTTCTTGTCTTCCCGGTCCCTACCCACCAATCCCCTATCCTTTCTATTTTTTTTCGATATTACAGTATTCTGATAGTGCTGCTTTTGTTTCTGCTTTTTTTTTTGCTGTTGTTATGCTTCATAAATTTGCTTTTTTTTTTTTTTTTTTTTTT